TGCGGGGAACTCTGCAAAAAACGCATCTTCGCACGGGCAGCCCGTGCGTTGGCCATTTATTTATCTTTAAATATTGCCAAATTACATTCGAGGGACCATCTCTCGCCCCTTATATATATAAGGGGCGATATATATATATATATATATATATATATATATATATATATAACTACAAATTATGTGTGAAGCATGTGGATGGGTGATGTAGTAATAACACGTTGAGGAGTGGCTGGGTTCCCTTCTGGTCCAGAACAGTTTTCGAGAAAAATTCTCCAAGATTGCACGAATTGGCACGTTCATCCATTGTGTAGCTGAGAAAATTTCATAATGTGAAAAAAAAGACGCAAAAACATATCGGTTTCTTGACAGACATCGAAATCTTTTTACTGACTGATAATATATGCGACTGGGTAGACGCGATGCAAGAGGAACGGCGCTGCTATTATGTAATAGGTTGAGGATTCGATTATGCCGGTAGAATAACTGCTTTTCCTACTATTCTTTCATTCGTTTAGTGATAAATGGTACTAATGTATCGCAGGAAGTTAAAGGCGCCATTAGCTTACTTAATAAGCACTCTTCAAATGGTGAACACATCGACAGACTCGCCAGTGGGCTGATCAGTAGTGGAACTTGCTGCCCTTCAGAATACTTTAAAATTTTCTTTACGGCGGATGGAAGGCTGTACTGATGATTCCCACTGCTACCGCTCGCAAGACTATGTTTACAGCTAAAAGATGAAACGCAGAATCTATACGTGCGTGCTGTATAGTTACGTGACCTACATATCATCCTATTCACTTTATATTTGAAGATATCACAAAAAGCAGATACGGAAGAAGTTTTGTTACTTGCTTTTTGAATATTTTTGCAGAATTCATGGAGATGATGTCAGGCGAGTGACATGCAGTTGAATTCGAGAAGTTTCATGAAAATCAAATCATAACATTTCAGTGATCACATTTTAATGAATTTTATTGTCAGTGCAATAAATAATAACAAACGGGAGCATTTGTTATCTCACATGTTGGCATATGTAAAGAACTGAAATAGCCAATTTAGCACAGTAGAGAATGCATGCTCTGCAAAGCACTTGTTATCGAAGGAATCCCACACAACCTAGTGCGAAATATATCGCAAAGGCTTCTTTTAAATCATTGAGAGCAGCGATGGTGTGTCCATAATACTTCATCTAAGAAAGGTACGAAGTTCGGTTCCATCTGTTTGTAGCTAACTCTCTCTCTCCCTCTATGTTTACAGCTAAGGGATGAAAAACAGACTGCTTTTCCATTTGTCTATTAAATATGTAACTTGCAGCACATTTGCTTCCTATTATAATATTCTTTACAATCCAGGCTAATTATTAGTAATAACCTAATTGGTACTGTGCCAACTGCGGGCTTTGACGTGATGTGTGGTGTAAGTGTGCGCGATAGCCGAATTTGAAATCTTTAACTCATACATGGCTAATGAATGTCACTGCAAAGTTTTTTATGTTTGCCGATTCCTGAAGACGTTTCCCGGTGAAAAAAATTTACATGTTTTTTTT